TGTTTGCTCCCCCTACTGGCTGTCCTGTGCGGCTGTCAGTGTTTTCAGAGAGCTTGATGTGCTCAGTTTTCTTTAGATTTCCTGATTCATCTTCCTGTCCGGGATCACCAGTCTTTCAGCAGTGAAACAGAAACCAGTCTGACCATTCTTCCAGCTTCAGAGTTGTGCTCTGAGATGCCACCATACATGTTTCACCTGCCAACATGAGACATACCTGATGCTGTTTCAACAGAGATTTGGTCTCTGAAATGTGTTTTTCCCAGTCTTTGCGCTAAGCTGTTCTCTCTCCTGCTTTATAGATCCCGCATGTTGAGAAGTTAAATCAAGCTCACCTCTATGTTTTCCCCTCCCACTCTAACGCTGTCGCTCTCTGTTTCTCTGCCACGCCCACCCTTACCTGTGCAGGGACAGGTAAACCCCTCTACACTCACACTGTTGGCACACAACTAAAAGTCAGGGTCATTTATGGACTTGGTCCTCTGATCATCACCTTCTCTGGTTGATCAAGCTCTTTTTTGTGTTTGTGGTGCTTTCAGGGACTTTGCCTTTGTGGCTGGAGATAAGGACAGCTGTGTTCTGAAGTGTCATGTGTTTCGGTGTAACGCTCCAGCCAAAGCAATCGCATCAGCTCTCCACGAGATGTGCTCAAAGGTGGGAGCCTCCAAACACTCACAGTAAACCTTCTTCTGTTCTAGTAGAACTGACTGGGATGAGACCTCAAGCCATTGTAAAAACGAAGTCCATCGCAGCTGCTGCCTCCAGCTTAGATATAGACCCTGGAGCTCCTCAATAATAGCAGTAGCTGTGGCAGCTTGATGCAGTGGTTGTCAAGCCTGGTCCTCAAATACCACTGCTCTGTGTGTTTTAGATATCTCTGTTGCAGCACGCCTGATTAAAATTATTCCATGACCTTCTTTGCAGCCATCATGTGCTGCAGAAGCCTTTTAAACATCCCTTCATTTAAGTCAGGTGTGTGGCACCAAAGAGACACCTAACACTTGCAGGACAGTGGTACTGAAGGACCAGGATTGAGAACCACTGGTCTATCTATCCAGTTCCAGTGTCCTGCACATTTAATCTGTGTCTCTGCCTCCACACACCTGGACACAATAATGCCATTATCATGACTGTGGAGAATTTTTCAGAATACGGGAAAATGTGGGAGTTTTCTTTACCTTTCATGAGGTCAAAACTAAAACTATGTCCAGGGTAGGAAAGGACCTGCAGACTGCGGTGCTGAATCCAGACAGAGAAGGTAATTTAGACATTTAATGCAGGTGTGTCGAATCAGAGAAATGGTGAATTGAAGACTTCTGCTCTACCGCATCTAGGTGGGTAAGAACAGTGCTAGAGTAAAAAGGCCTCAGCAATTGTAGGGGTCTAACAATGTAGGTAGGGTTATAAGGTAAGTCCAGACCATCTTACGTTCATCATTCAGCAGAGAGAAAGAGTTATCCAGAGACGAGAACATCTCAGACATCATTCAGAAGTGGACTTCCCAGAAGATTCAGTCAGAGGTCAGAATTAAATGAGTTAAATGAGCAAAAAAACAAGAGCTCCAACCCAGACTCTACAGCAGGAATGCTCAAAGTCGGTCCTCGAGGGCAGCTATCCTGCAGGTTTTGGAGGTCTAAATGCTTTAGCACAGCTGATTCTGATGATTGCAGTTCAGCAAAAGCTTGTAAATCAGCGTTCATGAAAATCAACTTTGCCGGAGCAGGGCATAGCAGCTTTACAGGTTAGCTGGCTAAAGGTCAAATTCAGTAGAAAAAACAAGTGCACCCTCTTTGAGGCTGTCCTTTTATTGGCTGGAAAGTTTGCTGGGCGGTGATCCGACTTCAGTCTGAGTGTGAGAGAGGGAGGTAAGAAAGTCCACAAGTAGAGCTGACAGGTTTGCGAGGGTATCTCTGACTTGAGTAGAGACTCCTTTGGGCCCGAGGACAAGGGGAGGAGAGAATATCTGTGCTAGAAACATCCGACCTGAGAGCAGTAACAAAGATTTGATGGAGAAGGGAAGAGATTTGAGAGAAAGCAGAAGTTTTGAATGTGAGGATTACAAGTTTTAAATGCAACTAGATGAAATCCTGCTCTCAAAAAGAAAATGTGTGCTCTTTGTTTTTGGTAGGACAAATCTTCCATATAGCTGAGCTCTGGAGTATGGTAAAGGAAGGATGATGATGATGATGATTGTTATGAGCTGTCATTGAGTAGACCTAGGACAACCACAGTAATCAAGAGTCCAAAGTGAAGAGAGTCAGAGCTGAGCGTAAAAGTCTGGTAAAGGCAAGTGAGATTCCTTACAGCTCCTTTGTGCCCGACAGGAATGTAAGGAGGCCCCAATGCTGAAGGTTTCTGAGGGAGGGCACCTCTGCTAGGTCATGGGGTGGACTCAGTTTTTCTCCTGACCTCACTGAACATTATAAGAACTTCATTCTCCTCCAGACTTCAGTGTTGATACCGTCAGTTGGGTTCTGACTGAAACCTTTTTTTCCACGTAGATGATCTCAGAGAAATCCGTGATGAGGCCTTCACGCTCTCTCACCATGGAGAGTATCTCACCTGAAGACCTACCCAGACAAGGTGACGCACCTGCTGAGGCACTCATCATCTAATCTAATCTCATCTCATCTGTTCTCAGCTCTGTATTAATCATCTGTCCTTTCAGTGGAGTTTTTAGAGGCAGTGCGGCAGCAGGTCCAGAAATTTGAGGTGCAGTACATCGGAAACCTTCCAGTGTCCAGAGCTATGGGTATGAGAGACACCTGGTACCCTGAAGTTAATCCTTGGACAGTCAGAGGGCTCCCCTATGTTCTCTATGTCTTTGCCTTAGTTTCTAGATAAACAAAATGAAGAAAAAATATTTGAACAAGCAACTCCTCAGACCCAGTAGACAGTGTTCTGACAGACGGGAGGTTCTGTAACTTATGAACTGGTCTGCTTGCTTTTTCACAGGGATGGAGGTTTTGAACAGAGCCATCGAGAGCATTATGAACTCTACAGACCGGGATGACTGGGAGCCAACAGTGATTCACATCAACGACAAAGTTCTTTCTCTGTGGAAGGGGGAGGTACCATCCTCATCATTGCTGGAGCTCAGGTAAAACCTCCTTCAACTGTGACTAACTGTTACATCTTCCTGGCAGGCTGGAGACCAGCCCCTCTGGGAGTGTCAGGTACGTTTCCTCACCTTTCTGGGTGTCGGGCACGACAGCCGCACCTTCGCCGTGATTGTTGATGCCGGCACACAGCAGTTTGAGTGTCACGTGTTCTGGTGCGAACCGGATGCAGGGATCATCTCCGAGGCTGTCCAGGCTGCCTGCATGGTAAATAGAGTAAGCCTTTACAGGGAATCATGACACGACTGGTGCTTTGTACCATCCACGTTAAACTGTTGATTTTGTACATTTGAAATCTCTTTTGAAATAACATGTTTCACCAAAGAATGACAGAAAACAGCAGCTAGATTGGCCTTCTTTTTGTGTCTGCTTCCTGTCTCTCCATCCTCAGTTTGAATGACTGGGTAGGGGTTTGGGCCAGTCTCTTATGAACGGCCTCCGTCTGCCGTCCCCAACACCAGTATATTTAGTTTTGTCCAGTGATAGGATCTATGTGTTCTCAGTACTCAGCTTCTAACTGTCATAAACTATGTGATATTCAAGCGTTTTTAGGCCATGGTGTTGCTGCCCACTACTGCCGGCTCACCATTTGTTTCCTTCCATCAGGTCCAGTACCAGAAGTGTCTGGTGGCTCAGACTCCACCTCCTAGAACCAAATCATGGCGTGTGACTCCATCAAAGGTGAAACGAGCAAACTCGATGGATGGAGCCGCCTTTCCGCCACTCTCATCGCATCACATCAGAAGCAGCAGCTCCAGCCTGATGAGTGCAACCAAGGGCGGCAGCAACAATGTCAGGAAAGGGATGATGGCATTCTTTGAGACGTTCCGCAACAAACAAACTGCCACCTCATAGTGATGGGGGCAGGGCCGCTGGATGCTGTCGTTAAACTGGACTGAAATCCCCAGGCCAGCATCTAAACCGGCTGAAACTCTGGGGCTAGGTCCACCAGAGGAGCAGCTACTTGATGAATGTCTGCAGATGTCTGACCAATCAGAACCATTGATTCCTGCACTTCTTCCCTTATAGAGCAAACCAAACTGTAGAAAGAACATAAACTGAACTGACTCAGGGTCTTCAGGTTTGAAATGTGAATTAAAAAAACCTCTCCTTGACAAAAACAACTATGAACCTTTTGGTGAAGTGATCAGGAATCAGAAGGATTTCTGCATCTGATTTTCCTGAAATGATCTTAAAATGCAGAAATGAGGAATTAGAGCAGAACAGATTTAGTTTGTATGTTTGCCCATGCTTCAACTGGAGTTGGACCTTAGACTCAGTCATACAGCTAAAAGTAGCAGTGAGGGCTTCTGACCACCAGGGGGCAGGAATTAGCCTGAAGTTATGGCACCATTAGGGCGGCTGACATAACCATAGAAAAAGCTGTTTTTTCTCCTGGATGGTTGAAGGTTTTGCAGGTTTAGTCTGTTTTTAGGTTTCAGAAAGTTATAAGCTGTAGAGGCTTGTTTTGTCTGTAGCTAAGATCAACCAGTTTAGCCCAGAAACATTTAATGATGTCATGTATAAAATAACCTGAATAAAATAAAAAAAAAGTCCATCACTCTGCTCCTGGAGCAGTTTATGTCTGCTTCTTTTTTGTTAATCTTTTTTTTTTTTTTTACTTATTTATTAATTACAGATATTGGAGCACAGGGGTAACATTCAACATAGGAAGCAAAGGAAGAGAACATGAGGCAGGTCCGCAGAAGAAATCCGATTTAAATACGACAACCAGAGGGCTTATAGAGGACATGCAGCCAATCATGTGACACCAGCTACTCCTCCTCATTGGACACAACCAGCTGCAGTTCTCTATTTTTCCTTGAAAACTCCAACAAAAACAT